GGGGGGGAGCGGGAAGGAAGGAGGGATGTCCGATGGAGGGGATGGAGGCCGGAGGGGAGCTTGACGCGCTTGACGCGTTTGGACCCTGGAGTTCTTGCTCGTCCCGGTCTCTCTTATCACCTGAAAGTCTTCCGTGGTTGATGTCCAGTGGGCAGCTCCAGGGCACAATGAACGGCAACTACAGGGGAGAGTAGGGGACGACATACATATCCCTAACCCGCAGCAAGGTGACAAGTCTCTCAGGACAAGGAAGGAATGTCCATTGCCTCTCAAACTCCCCGCCTTTCATACTTTCCCTCTTTCAACATCACTTCAATCTCTCTTTCCTCATTGCACAAAATGGGACTTCGCAGCAAAATCTGAGGCCCTCACCGCACATCTTCAACTTTTCAATAATTCAAACAGTTTATTCTGGCCATACCGTTGACCTGTCCACTCGTATCCTGCCACCCTTTTAGTCATTAACTTTCTTCTCTTCTGCCCAATGTCCACTATGAACAAAGGGACATTCCCATCGTCAGAGTTGGCTTTCTGCACCTCTTGAGCTTCCTGCCTCCCCGTCCTGTCGGCGTCTTCTATTACCCGGTATCCGAGACACGACCCAGACGACGGGATGTCACTCCAAGAGATTGGCCAAGCTGGACCAAAATCCGCCCAAAGGCGAAGAAAAACCAAGACAAAGGAGGCATCAGTGGCAGGATCCACGACATCCCTTCATCTGCATCATAGTTTGTGGCGTCTATATTGACTGGCGTGATACGGCGCCAAAAGAAGGCGATCAGCTTTGCAATGGCCAATACTCCTCCGTCATCCATCTCTGGCCATTCCGTGGACCTCCCCACGCCGACCCCCGACCTGGTCTCTATTGGCACCACATCGCTTGTATTGGATTGATGCAGCCCCGTCATCTTTCTCACTACATATCAGTATTAGCCCCCCTCCTCTTTCACCCAATCTTCAGCTCTGGGTCCTGAGAGTCTGGATGCGGTTCCAGAAAGGCCGAACGAGTGGTCCTGGGACGGGCCAGACACAGGTAGTTCTGTCTGTTTGGTCAGCCGCATGCGCACTCAAAAGGAGAGCTGAACATGGAAAGTCTAGGGTTTCTGGTTCGTCTGGACGGCAAAAAGTGCACACGTCGATTGCCTTTTCGAGCCGTTTCACAACCGGAGGACGCTTCATCTTTTTCCTCCTTTGCCAGCGGCCCGTCATGCTAATCGAAGAGGTGATCGGCTGCTGAGCCCAAGTCAGCCACACAAGCCGTACGTAAAGCCTATTGACGTCGAGCCAAGCCCCCGGGTTAGGTTGTCGTGCATCCCATCTGAGTCCATCAACCAAGGTCGAAGCTGTGGAACACAACATGCAATTTTGTGCTTCGGCAGACGTGCATTGTCTCTGGTCTTGACGGTTGGGGTTAGGTGGGTCTCCCCGCTTGGACTTAAGGAGCCGGCCTCCCTGGCCTCCCGCGACAACTCTCCGCCATTGTGAGAGGGAAAAGACAAACCTTTGTGTCAGTCAAATCTTCGAATCCGGTGTTCACGTCAGCTCAAAGCGACACTCACGGCTATACCATGGCACAATGTGGTATACCAAGGTCCTGGTCGGATGGAGGACGATTTCACCAGACTCGCCAACAGCCGCAGATTGGGCAGAGCATCAGGTTTGGCAGTTTCAATGACAGGCGACGAGCAAAAATTCCGGATCTCAAGCGGTGGGACGGTGCCTCTAGGACTTCCCAACTGTGGGATTGTCTAGGGAAAAGAGTAAGTCTGAGCGGTAAAAGTCAAGTCAACGAGAGAGACTATGGCTAACTTATGCCCAGGACCCGGAACTATGGCATCGCAAGGGCAATTGCCTGATATATCTGTATGGACGTGGCCAGTCGAATCGGAGCCCTTCGTTCAAAGTACCCTTCAACACCCTGCTCGCAACGCAGTGCCAGCCCCTGATCGCAAGATATATCAGACGAGATATCCCAGAAACACTGGGCACCGAAGCCAGCCAGATCGAGCTCTACATTCCTGCTCCTCCTGCGGCTACTGAAGAAGAGGCCATGCGTCATTACCTGGACATCCGCAATTTCTTTGCCTGGGTTTTTCGTAGATCAATGGTAGGGGATCATCTCGGAGCAACACTCATTCGTCTCTTACACACCATGACTGAGCTCCGATGTCTCGGGCTAAACAATGCGGAAGACCTGTTGAATTACGCCGACGAAGAAGGCTATCTGGAGATGTGTAATCAACCAGCACATGCCTTGGGTGTACTTCACTTTGCGGAGTACTGTCAAGATCGCAGGCTTTATATTGAGGCTTTCACCCACTGTACCGGAATGGTCGACGAGTTATACATTGTCCCCGAATATCAGGCAAGCGACGCTCCCAATCATTTGGATTCCTTTGACCGTACGCTAACTAATCGTTTAGGTCATTACTTCCGCTACTCGAAGGCTGCTCCGCCAAGCAAAGGCTGAGATGGATGAGAGACTTGGACAAGCTACGTTGATGCTGCAAAACTTTCTGGAGGAGGATCTCTCTCAGGCTCATCTGGGACTGACGGTCGGGGGACGGTCCCATCTTGAGCGTTTCCGGACCTTCCTCAATGCTCACTTCGCCACCAAGATCGGATACTATCCGCCTACCTCAATCAACCAGCGGTACTTGATATTTCCTCCTGCGATATATCGAACAATGAGAGACGACATCGAAGCTTTATACGAGCTCTTGGTAGACAACACATATACCCCGTCGGAAAATATACCGGCCTCTGCCCAAGGGGGACTATGTACTCTGCAGTGTGTCCATGGCTTTGACGCACGGAACAAGTACTCGCCGCTTCCTCATCCCCTGCCGTTACTGCCGGAATTACCTGCCACGAAAACATCCCGAAGAACCTCCTGGCTCCATAAAGCCGACAAGCTGAAGCCAGACCAACGGGTGGTAGCACATGCAGCCCTGGCGAAAGCATCCAACAGAACCAAGACCACCATATCCCGGAATCCGCTTGTCATTGCGTATCAAAGATACGAAGAGGAATGCGTGTTCTCGCCTCTCAAAATCGACAGACAAGAGAAAATCTCGCAAGTTGACGCACGGAAAGTTCGATGGATACTTGTCTATGCAATTTATCAAGTATTACGAGCCTGTACTCAGGTTCCCGTCGAGTGCCGGGAAGTTGGAAACGTGTACTACAGCATGGCTGTTAGCACCGAAAACTTACCGCCCTGGGATGGGGACGACTATGTGTCAAGCTTCAGCACTCGATTCCCGAGGGCAACAAGACAAGATGGTCATGCGTTTTCCAAGTCGCTGCCAAACTTCTCACTTCCAACGCCGCTCATTCTGTCATCATTTCCAGCTGTGTTTACCTACGGCGAAGACAGAAAGATTAGGCCGGATATTGACCACTTCGCATTGATACACGCTAAGACGCCCAGTGGGATCGCAACAGACCCCAGACCGACCTCGCCGTCCAATGTTCCAACCCGGGTTCACAGTCTCACCAGGAGTATCAGTCATTCTTTCAATGCCATAACTGGGACTGGACCAGCAGAGCAAGAGTCTACTTCACACAATCGCAGCCGGCGTGCTTCGTACCACGAAATTGTTATCCAAGGATATGGGAATGGAACCAACGATGTCCACCCCGTAAATAGTGAGCCAACACTAGATAACGTGCCGCCTCAGTCCTTTGCCGACGTTACGAAGGCATCCGATACCCGAGTCGCTGAACAGGGTATCAGGACGCAAGGTGTTACGCTCCGCTCACCGTCGACCGCATCCACGTCATCCAATAACACTACCGGATCTAGTACGACAAGCAGGAAGACGGCTGTTTCTGCGTCTTCGACAGCGCCAAGCTTCTGTGGCTCACCAACATCTCAAAAAGCCTTAGTGATTGGAGAAGAAATGTTGTGCGATATGCCACTAGGAAGCAATGATATGGCACCTCCGCTCCCTCGCAGAAGCAGTCGACGGAGACCGAGCGAATGCCACCCTGACCCCCTGAGAATCCGAAAAACCCAGTCGACAACCTCCCTTGATATTCTTGGAAGGGACGACAATGAGCCCAGATGCTTGTCCACGTACGAGACGGGTAACGACCCATGGGCACAGTACGCAGATGTGGGTGGGTTGAGGGACTTGGAGGTGAAGACTCTGGTATGACACTTTACAGATTAAAGCTCGTCACACCGGCTCTGATTGACATTTCCTTTGTTCACTGCGTTGTGGTTCATTCTTTTGTCGGAAGTCGGTTCCATGATCCATCGAGTTTTGCTCTTTCATTCTCACATTTTCTAGGATCCATGGAGTTGGTCTTGATACCCGGCATTCAATTTCGTTTGTTCTTTGGTTTTCACTCTGACCATTTGGATAATACACACATGCAAAAGTACAATTATTCCCTTCTGAACATTAACCTGCTCGAAAACAATCTGCAAACAGCCCCTTATGCCACACACCACAGCGTCCATATGTCGTTTCTTCCAAGCGGAGTTCCGAGAAGTCTCAATCGCCAGAGCGGTAATCGAGTTTTCTGTGCCACCCCGGTATCCTAGACATGTGGCCAGAACTCTGTCCAGCCTGGGACTTCGTAAATACCCGCTGGTGCTTTTCGGAAGGACGAACACGCAACGGCTACCAGCCCTAGGCGGCTCAAGACATACACCCCCGTGTATATGTGAGGAAGCAGCCATGACACCATCCTCTTGCGGTCGTTCTCTGGTTTGTAAAGGATTCCCATGACACCAGGGCCGTTGAACAACATTGTGAATGCCCCGAGCAGCATTGTACCTGCGCAAGCTCTCCAACAATACTCTTCTTCTTTGGTAACAAATTGATACTTCCAAGCCGCCAGATGAATGCCGGAAAAGATTCCGAACGTCAAAAACATCGCGAACTTCTCCAGATTCGGTCGCTTTGATTGTTGCGATTCTTTGACCTCAAACGACTCTCCGAACCCTTCGTTTGGCCTCAACGTGATTTTCCTTCCGGTTGCCTCGTCAATAATTTCCGTCACTTCTGACGAAACCTGAACCTCCTTCGAGTGCAGGGATGATGGTGACTTCTCAGTTGCCGACCCCTTTGCTTCTTTCGTCTCTCTGCCCACCGCCTTCTCCTCATTTTTGTTGCGTTTGCTGTACATCTCCATGAAGGCGGCCGTCGAAACCAAGGCCAGGAGGTAGAATCCGACGACGTGTGCCCCCCGGAAGGAGTCGATGTTTTTCCAAATCTGGCTAAGATCGCTTTCATGGCAATATAGGTTGATCGTCTGTGGCTTGCTTGCATCCTCCACAGATGTGGCTATGTCTTCTGTCGCTGCAAAGGTTGATGTAACCGTTGTTACAATGTTCTTCACGGATTGAAACCAGCCAACAGGTTCCCCTTGTGCTGTGATCTCCTCGACTGTCGACTGAGCTCCGGCCTTTCCAGATAGTTTTGGGTCTTCCACAGGGATGACTTTCTTGCTTGGATCCGGCCTGATGATGAAAGGCTGCTCGATGTTGTGGGGGCACATGAACCAAAAGGTGAAAGTGATGATGCCGCAGAACACATGTGCCGCAGCCAAGTCCTCCAACAAGCTCACGGGGTAGTGAAGCACGAGCCGGGCGATAACGTTGACCATGAAGAACAACGTCTGCACAATCGAGATGAACTTCATGGTTGCGTCGGATTTCGACTTGTCGTCAATCTCGTCCCTCGAGGGATAGTCCGAGTACTCCAGCTGTCGGGTATACGCGAGCCATAGGAGATCTCTGGGGCTGACCTTCACCTTCTCAGGGGAATCGGGCATTTGCATGTAGATGCCATCCATGATGCAGACAAAGGCCTGCTTCATGGTGAAGCGGTACCATCCGGGAAGTTGCCTCTGGTACACCAGGAAGCGGCCGCAAAGCCAAGTGGCCTCAAGGAGATCACGGACACTCCAGACCGCCGCCACCTCGGGCAGAAGGAAGGTGTAGAGAAATCGGTTCCATCTATAGAGCCACTTGGTTTGCCAGGAATGGTCGTCAGGTTTGCGGGCCCTGTTGTGGAAGGAGGTCCATGAGGCGAGGAGGATGGCGGTGCAGCAGGTGTAGATGATGCCCAGAGTGCCTCGGCCGGCCGTGTCGGAGTCGAGTCGGAACCCGGTGAGGTTATAGAACTCAGGGTGTGGTCTCTGAATGGGAGCCATTTCGTCACCACAGAGGTCAAGGCCTCAACTCAAGTTGGTATCAGTTTGCTGATTGTAAAAGAATGAATGAATGGATGAGTCGAGTCGAGTCAAGCTGGGTTGTAGACCAAACAAGAAGAGCCAAGGACTGGGCGCAAGCTTTCTATCTACCAAATCCCCGGGATCACTATTCTTTTGAGTCCGTTCCCAGATACACAGTAAGCTTGTTTACCCCCCCAAGTTCCGTTATAGTCAAACAGCCCCAACACGGGACTGGGGTAGTAAGTACTAGGTATCAAGCCAAACCCAAACCCCAAACTTCGAAAACCACGGCACCCCAGCAATCAACGTACGTTGGTGGCGTAAGGCAACTCCGGCCGCAAGGCATCCATCCATCCATCCAAACATTCCGCCCCCATTCATTCAGCAGACAGGTTGTAAGTAGAGGTAAGTTTATTTGCCTTATCACCCCCGGTCCCCCCCCTTGAGCCCCCCCTTGACAATTTCATCCACATTGATGTAAGTTTTATGTACAACTACCTACTGTAGGACTGGACAACAAAAAACTTGAACTCATGCAAATTAATATTGATTCTGATACAGACAGACAGACAGACATTCCTTCCTTTCAGCTTGCCTGCCTGCTGCCCGGCTTGCTGCAGTGTTCTAGACATTACCTACTGTGGGTATCAATCTGCACGTCGGAGTCTAGGTAAAAAAGGGGCGAGTGTCTTTGTCCGGTCCGGTCTGGTTGGGGCTTGAGGCCTTCTATGAGGGGTGGGGGACGAATTCAGAACTAGGTAAAGTGAAAGTGGAAGTGGAAGTGCAATTGGAGGGAACGATGCAGGGATATAGAGAAAGCGACGATGCAGGGGGAACTGAAGAGAAATGGAAACTTAAAACTCCATCCGATGTGTTCTGCGCCTTCCCGCGCGGTCGGATGCTGTGAGGAACTTGAACGAGAGGAGCAAGTGTGAAGAGACGAGGAGCAGCCAAGTGAGGAGATATCCATATTGTTCACATAGTATCGTTCACAGAGTTCGAAACGGAGACCTGGAGGAACGGGAAGGAGCATAGTATTGATGTTGATAACCGCGCCGGAAGAATCGAAGGATCATGAACCATGGGGTTTTGGAAGGAAAGAGGCAACTGAAGAAAAGAAAGAGGTAAAAAGAGGCAACAAGAAGGTAAAGAGTGGAAGCTGCGAGTGGAAGGAGAATAACAGACAGGGAGACAGACGGGGAAACAGACGGGAGAAAAAGTGAGTAGTCGATATCCACCTCTTCTTTCCTCCGATACTATGTGACGAACCATTACAAGCACAGGAGTA